GTCTCCCACTAACGTACTCAGCATCGCTCTCAGCAGCTTAATAATTATTGATCGGACGGGTAATCATGCTTTATGCTGGATATGGCCGTAGACATCAATTTGAAGGAATTGGTGACCTGAACTTAGCGCGACCACCGAATCTCGTTTGGATTTCCATAGTAGATTCGTCCCATTTCTATCACATCACTTAATTCAACATGGGTTTTCTTGACTAAACATAGTCTTTCCCACTCTAGGTATATATTAGTAAATAGCTATTAAATATATATTCTTATATGTCAAAAAAACAAAAAAAAAAAAAATCCCAACAAGCAGGTTCGTGAAGACGATCACTTTTTCTAATAATCAATGAATTGACACACTTAGCAACGTCACCTTGAACGAGACTATAAAGAAGCACATATCCATTGGTTTGTGGATGTGTGTAGATGTAGGCTTCAATCGCACGAAGCCAGTCCTGAACATTCTCACCTTTGCGAGCACTGAAGAATGGTGGCAACTTAATCAGAGCAGCAAGGTCTTGACCTGGGAAGGCTTTTTTAATCCTTTCAAGGGCACGTCTAACATCAGTAATATAGTCCATATTTTGCAGTAAGTTTTCCAGTTGAGCCGTGGAGTCGTTCGTGGTGGCGATACCAGATAAAAGGAATTGGTGTGCGGGCCTGGGCAAGAATTGGTTGCAAATAAATACAATAAAAATACTGATAATTGAAGAGTAAAGTGTCAATGGTAATGTTGATATAGGAGTTAGTTGGTTGGAGTATAAAAGGATAGAGAGACTAAGGAGGAGTCTATGACTGTTTATATTATTCTCCTGGTTGGTTTACGAACGTATTGAGTTCGTCGTACGATGTTGGAGCCATGGAGAAACACCTTTCATTGATTTCAAATTCGGGGTACTTATCCCCATGCTTATTTGGATACCTAGAGAGTTGGATTTGAAGATAAAGCCGCAACTCTATTATCCACACTCGCTTGAACATAGGTTTTCTCGATTACATAGCAGTGTATATTAGCATATGTAATATTTAAGTGTTGGTTCAAACTGTAAATATGTATTAGTAGATATTTAAGAGGGCCTGATAAGGTAAGAATAGCTTGGAGAAAAAGGGAGAAAATCATTAACGTTCTAAATAGAGATTAGCCTCTATTTATGTTAATCATTGAGTTAGAAGAATTATAAGAAAGATTCATAGTTAAAGGGTAATATAGTTACAACTGTGGGAACAAGTACATTTGTAACAACCAAAAGTAGATATAAAAGGTAAATTCTGAAACATACAGGTTTAGTTTACGTAACTTGTAAGAACAGATCCGCGGGACTGTTACAGCATATAATTATTAAATATATATTCTTACAAGTAAAAAAAACACCAACAGACTAGTTGCTCACATAGTTTTGTTTAGACTGCAGTCATTCAAGCGGAAAGAGACTTCCCATCCAATTCTCCGAACCAGGGATTGACCTTGATCTTCTTGATTATCTCAACTATACGCCACGGGCTTTCAGCGAGCAGACTTCTCGAGATAAGCAAAGCACGAATTAGTGTTCCAATCTATATACATAAGCAGCTCTTCTGGGACTCACTCTTGACTTCTGTTCCAATAGATAAAATCTTTGAAAGAACTGAAATCATCAGGCTCAACCATAAAATAAAATTTGGTTATTTTTGCAAGGAAAGCCATGACAACAGATACAAGGGCTACATGATGTATAATGGTGGTAAGGCTTCTACTCTAACTGATCAAGGCAAGTGTTCGGTAACAACGGCTACGAAAAGATTATATATTGTGTGAAGAAGTTTCCCGGAGACTCAATTATTGTCAACTTGACTAATTAGTCTGTTAATGTTTTTCAATTGCAGCACATTCGCTAATCCAAAGCCATCCTCACGAGCCAATTATCGGTTAAAGTTCAATCTAAAAAGCAGGATTTCCGGTAGTGGTTATCCCTTCCTTAAGACGAAGGTATGTTTGTTTAAATTATATTAATCACCGACAGCGCAGTAATTGATTATCATAACTGCAAACTCCATTCAAGCGATAACCTTAACTCAACTAGCGAGTTTACTTCTCTGCAGCATTCAAACAGGAAGCCATCCAGCGGGGAGACATGTTTACAAACATATGCTAAGTAGTTGATTTCCAGTGCATGTTCACTTATTTTTAGCTCGTAAGGCTGATTTCCGATTGCAAGCCTCACCAATCAGAAACTTCTCCTCCAAAGTATGAACATACAGACGTATAGACATCGCTTTATACCCTACAGGCGTACTGGTGTCCTATAAACGAGTCTGACCGCTAATTCTTCAGAGCAAAGAGCATGCGGATCCCCCCAATATCGTGACCCAGTGAAAATTGGGTCTGATTAGTTTTAAGACCCGGGTGCATATTTCCTTCTTGTTACTTGTTTCTCCTGGCCTCTCTGGCTTCTGGCTTCTGACCTTTCTTCTCGCCCCTTGCACCACCTTCATGGATCTTGGTGACCTCCTGCTGGGGCAATACAAGGCGGAAACCATCTGAGCAAAGCCAACTGGCGATCGCACAGCTGTAAAATGCACCAGCAACAAAAACTACTCAACTTACCGAAAAGAGCAAAAAAAATAATCAAACGTAAGGAGGCTTTACCGATCTTAGTCTCAACAATAGGCAGAGATGGAGAGTACCTGGTCTATGGTTGTAGAATAAAATATTTGATTGTTTCATTAAAGTCCCTGGGGAAGAGGCTGTTTCCCGTAGATGCAAAGTCTTGATGTAATTTAGTAGTTGCTGGAAAGAGCTAAAAAAAATAATCAGCAAAAATAGTTCAACGGTGAACAAATTAGGACTATTTTTTATGTTACTGGATTCGAGAGAACAAGTCCGATGAAGATTCGGTTAGAACATATTGAACAGGAACTGGAGTCGATTCTACGAATCAAGGGAACTGGGTGAAATGAAGGATTTTCTTTTTCGCTTGTAAAGTCATACGAAATTGCTTAGCAAAAGAAATTAAATTTTATTGGAATTAGAAACAAGTCGTGTGTACTAAATATAATCTATGAACATCGCACAATAATTTTACAAGATTTTATTGATTTTTATTACCAGTTATCCTTTTTCTTCATATATATTGGTAAGGATGTTTATAACAATACCTAGGAAACCGTTGAAGGTGTTGATACCGATGGTATTACTAATGATATGTATATCATTACTCAATACGTCTTCGCGATTAGTTGATGAAACTAATCGAATAATTAAGAATAAGTTATCAAGTATTAATCATTTTGATATTTTATCGACTAAGTTGTTTTCAAATAAGCAAGATGAAACCGATGACGACTTGAACAATCAAATAGATATAGCCAATCCAAAATCGATCTTCAATAAACAGGTTGATGAAATTTTCAATAAGAAATTGAATTCTGATATTGAAAATAAATATTGGTTAGTTAACACTGATATAACCAATGAGAATTCAGAATTAAACATTCCTAAGTATTATATGGATTCTTCGACTGAAAACCCTGATTTGCAACCTTTTGATCCTCGTTTTACCATTGGAATGTACTATTATTATATTCAAAAAGAATATCAAAAAAATCCAAATAAGATTGTAGAGGCTCCTTTCCATTGGTATGATTGGGTTGATATGAGTAGTTTGAATAAGTATTTATTGGCTTCAACGTTGGAAAAACCAGATTGTTCTATTTTGGATTCAAGAATCCAAGAAATCGAAATGAATGAAGATAATAAAAAAAATAACGAGGCTCTTTTGAAAGATTTGAAAAATCAATACGATGCAAAGTATGGTAATCTTTTGGGTGGGAACGAAAAAGTAACCGAAGTAAAAGAAGATTTGAAGGAAGATGCAAAGTCTGAAAATAAGGACGAAACAAAGCCTGAAAATACTGAAAACAAGGATGAAGCAAAACCTGAAAATACTGAAAACAAGGATGAAGCAAAACCTGAAAATACTGACAACAAGGACGAAGCAAAACCTGAAAATACTGACAACAAGGACGAAG